ATTCGACACATATTTTGGGTTTCCCATTGCAAAACATGGATACTGCAATACTATTCATATGGGAGGCGGGGTATAATTTAGAGTATCTCTAGTTTCGTAAGCTTTCTTTTAACAGACATTCTTTATCCAGTGACACTGTGTTACGTAAAAAGAGATATGAAAACAGTCAAGATTGGCATTATGCCTGAAAGACATTGCTGCATCCAGTCTGTAAAATATCGACTGCAGGAAAGAGTTTAATGGTAACGCACTAGTATTTACTTAGGACCAACGTACTAGTATTTACTCAGAACAAACGTACTAGTATACTCAGGACCAACGTACTAGTATTTACTCAGGACAAACGCACTATTACATTGTATTTACTCGGGGCCAACGTACTAGTATATACACAGGACCAACATACTGGTATTTACTCAGGACCAACGTACTTGTATTTACGCAGGACCAACGTACTAGAATTTACGACAGGCACTTGTGGACAGGACCCCCCCCCCCCCCATATAAAACCCTGGTCAAAAAATTTTTGTCATGAATTATGTTTCTAGTACTTATTTACAACGTATTCAATATGAAAAATCCAAAAATAACATAGATTTAACGATTTACTTAAAAAAAGTCATGACCTGGTATTATAACCTATTTTATAATACCTGGGTATGACTTTTTTTTTAGTAAATTGCTAAATCTATGTTATTTTTTGGATTTTTATATGGAATACCTTGTAAATAAGTACTAGAAACATAATTCATTACAAAAAAAAAAGAAAAAATATATTTTGACCAGAGGTGTATATGGGGGGGGGGGGGAGGTTCCTGTCCACAACTACCTGTGCATTCGATATCATTTTTTTTTATGATATCATAGACACCATCTTCGCCAGCCAAGGGTTTCCTATACGCTACTTTCATCAGTCCGTCTAGTTGTACGTCCGTCCATTTGTTGTGCTTTGGGGTACCCATGCACAATTCCTCTTATACCACTGAATGAAATAAATGAGATTTTCACAGAATCTTTGTTATATACTGTGAGCAGTGAGCTCACTAAATGATACCCCCCCCCCCCGCATCCCATATGGTTATAATGGCAAAAGTCCTTGTTTTGCTCTGGGAGACCCCAAATAAGTGTCAGAACAAAAAGTAACAAGAAAACTCAAAGAATTGGGGTCCTCCGCTTTCGGTGTCTTTGTGGGTGAAATGTCATTTTCAATGACAAAATGTTTCAAGTATGAACACCCTATCGTATGTCATTTAAAAATAATCACCGAAATTGTTGGTTTCTTAAGAAAGGTCTTGTCACAAATACATGTATTAGATATGTAAAGTATGAAAGCCCTAGCACTTACCGTTCAAAAGTTATGGCCAAGGTTAAACTCCAAGGTCAAGGTCAGAGGATCAAAGTTCTTGATATCTAATAAAAGGTCTTGTCACAAGGATTATGTAATTGAAGTATGAAAGAAGCCGTAGCCTTAACCCTTCAAGAGTTATCGTCAAGGTTTGTTTTTTAAAAGAAGGTCAAATCCGTTCTTGTTCTTGTTATCCAATGAAAGGTCTTCTCACAAGGATTACATATGTGAAGTATGATAGCCTTAGCCTAGTAGCCTTCACCATTCAAAAGTTATGACCAATGTGAAAGTTTTTAAAAAGTAGGTCAAACTCCAAGGTCAATGTCAAAGGGTAAAAGTGCTTGATATCCAATGAAAGGTCTTGTCACAAGGATTAGATATCTGAAGTATGAGAGCCCTATCCTAACCCTTCAAAAGTTATGGCCAAGGTTAAAGTTTTTTTTAAAAAGAAGGTCAAACTCCAAGGTCAAGGTCAGAGGGTCAAAGCTCTTGTTATCCAATGAAAGGTCTTCTCAGACGGATTACATGTTTGAAGTATAAAATCACAAGCCCTTACCGTTTAAAAGTTACGGCCAAGGTTAAAGTTTTTTCATAACTACGGAAATCTCCAAGATCAAAGTCAAAAGGACAAAGTTGTCGGTATCCAATGAAAGGCCTTGTCACAAAGAATAAATAAATTTAATATGAAAGTCCCAGTGTCTACCATTCAAAAGTTATGGTCAAAGTACAGGTTTAAAATTTTAGTGTAAAAGTGGGTCAAACTCAAAAGTCAAGGTCAAAAGGTCATATTTGGTGGTACCCAAAGAAAGGTCTTGTCACAAGAAATAGTCTTGTGAAATACGGAAGTCATAGCTCCACTAAATAAAAAGTTATGGGCAAGGTTAAAGTTTTTGTCACGGACGGACAGCTAGACTGACTGACAGACGGACAGATGAATGAGATTTAATGTCCCCTCGCTTTCGCGAAAGCGGTGGACAAAAATAGGAGAACACAATGGCATTATGTAAAAAAGAATCTGTGAAAGTTGAGATGGGTACTCAAAAGCGTTACAGACGGATGTATAGACAGACGGTCGGACATCCCGATCAATATACGAGGGCTGTCGATCCATAAAGTTCGTAGACAAGCTTTTCAAGCGGGGTATAAAAAAAAGGGGTCAATTTTAGAATTGATTTCAGCAAATCTCGGGAATGAAGTACACTGAATTACGGAATGAACTTTGTTAGTAATGTACATTGTTTACATATTAATAGATATGACTATAAGGATAAATTTAAGATCAATGGATTTGATATTTTATTAGCAAAAGTGAGTACCCTTTGTAAGGAGATGCATGCCTTTATCTTTTTATACATCCAATTTTTTGTCAGAAACAGATGTTTTACAATAGAATGTTTAAGAAGGTCACTACTCACCCCAAAAATGCGTATTGTTATTACAGGTGTCAGATTTTCTATTTCAAAGTATTGCGCCATTGCACTTCTATCTCAGTCGGGATTTATTATTCCCCCCGCTTGAAAAGTGGAAGGCTATATAGTAATCGGGATGTTCGTCCGTCCGTCTGTTACGCTTTTGGGTACCCGCCTCTTATCCGCAACTTCTCTCATACCACTGAATGAAATATACTGAGACTTTCACAGAATCCTTATTAATACATACTGCCATTGTGCAGCTTCTATGTTACTTTTTGATCCGACACATATTTTTGATTTCCCATGGAAACTGCCATTATATTCATTTGTTTGTGTGTGTGGGGGGGGGGGGGGGGGGCTGTATCATTTAGTGAACTCATTGCTCACAGTACCTCGATCTAGTTATATAATTAGATTTATTACAAGGTCTTAAAGCTTACATATATTCCTAAATTCTACGTGCAAAAAAAGTTAGGTTATGTCATAATTACCTGAGGCTAGGGTGGTGCCCGAAAAACTAATCATTTCATGTGAAAGGAGGGTGAAAAATATAGCATAGCAGTCAATTTACTCAGGTTAGCGCTGTGGCCCACAGGACTCTTGTTTTCCTAATTCTTTTGAAAGTGACTCCAGGACACTTAGTCACATTGATAGTAAGATTGAGATATACATGGACAAAACAAGAAGATGTGCTTGTCAAACACCGATGCCCTCGTATAGCAGCTTATGTCAAAGGTTAGTTTCTCAATGTAAGTCATACACGAAGTTCAAGAGATAGACAAGCAAATTCAAAGAATTGTGTTCCCCCGCTTTCGGTGTCTTGGTGGATAGGGTGGCATTATTTATGGCATATTGTTTTAAATATAAACGCCCTTTCTAAGCCATTAAGAGTACTCATCAAAGTTAACTTTTTTTTTACTTTAGGTCAAACATAAAGGTCAAAGGGTAAAAAATAAATGCATGCGCGCCCGGAAACATCTTTTCACAGGTAATTCGTATGTCAAATATGAAACCCTATCTCTTCTCAATTAGAAGTTGTATTATTAAGGAAAGAGGTCATTTTTGAAATGTAGGTCAAACTTCAAGGTCACAGGGTAAAAATTCATAGTATATTTAAAGAGGCCTTGTCGCAGATAATATACATGTATAATATGAAAGCACTGTATTTTCTCTTTCAAAAGTTATGAAAAATTTAATTAAAGTAATTTTAATTTTTTAAAAGTATGACAAACGTCAAGGTCACTGGTCAAAAACCATAGTATATTTAGATAGGTATTGTCACAGGTAATGTACATGTGAAATATAAAAGCCCTATTTCTTCTCATTCAAAAGTTATGACCAAGGTAAAAGTTTTTGTGACATTCGATTGTATGGTGGCATATTTATGCCATCAACATAACTTTTTGTCAACATATGTTGACCAAAAATTATGTGGATGGCATAAATTTGCCACCATACGATTGAGATTTATAATGCCCCGCTCTTGTGAAAGAGAGGGACAAAAATGCTGTTACCCAGTGAAGGACTTCTGTAAATATGAAAGCCCATGCGTCAACCATTCTAAAGTTACATTCAATAGTCATGTTTTCTGAAATTGGATTAAGCTCCAAGGTCAGAGGGTCAAGGACTTGTAATTAGCTAGAAATACACATGCAAATATAATTAAAAGTCCTACCACCACTGTTTACACGTTATAACTAAGATTAAAGTTTTTCAAAAAGTCATTTAAAACCCCAAGTTCAGGGTCAAAATCGTTGGTTTCCAAGGAAAGGCCTCGTTACAAAGAACATACCTGTGAAATTTGAAAGCCCTATAGAACGTACTCACAGTTCAAAATTATGTTATTGTCAAGATTAATGTTTTTAAAAAGTTGATGAAAATATGAAAGTCCTAGCAACTGTTCAAAAATTATGGCCAAAGTTGAAGTTGAAATTTAAAGTGGGTCAAACTCCCAGGTCAAGAGGTCAAATATGTTGGTTTTGTCGTGAAATATGAAACTTTAAAGCCAGCTTCCACAATTGAATCAAAAGTGTTGGGTATAAAGATTAAAGTTTCTGTGGACACACAGACAGACAGATGGATGGACAGAGCAAAGACTATACACCCCGAATCTTCGTTTACAATGTGACATATATAAACTGTAGATCCGCCCATGAAGATACAGTTCTCGTGAGCCATCGAGATCCTGGCGAGAGAGGTTCCAATATGGCGGCCAGCTGTTGTGGAGTGAAAAAACAAAAACTAAACAATTCGATGCCTGCCTCTATGTGCTGTAATGGATCCTCAGTTCATCCAAATGGTTACAAACACAACTATTCTGTGGCTAGTATAGAGATGTGTATATTTTGTTTTGACGTACTCCATAGCCATCTTCACAGTTATGAACCACCCAAAAACCCGTCTTTCACTAATGAAGCCTTGTAAGTAAATTTCATTTGTTACTTAAATGAACCCTTTTATACCTTGGTTCGATAAATTGACATCAAAGCATTGTTATGGTGTTTGTATTTTTGATCTATTTTTGATCAGTGCACATGGTTACCTAAATTGCATGCTATACAAAGGAAAGCGAATGTAAACAAAGGAAATGACTCATTGTTATGGAGACTACGACCAGCTGATTAAAATGGGTCAAATGGACTGACGTTCACTTTGTGAATTGGACTAAGAGAAATCCGTCATTTAAATGTCTATACTTTTGAAAATATAACTTCTGCTATTAGACATTTTCGAATTAATTTGTAAATATTTTAAAATATTACAATCTTAACATTCTTTTGGGAAACAGGAAGGGAGAAAATGTCAGATATTAAACAGTCACAACCCAGATGTGTTATCTGGTCACTGGTGATGAAATGTATTCTCATTAGGGAAGTGGACAGGCTTTCGCTACCACAGAAATAAACTTCCTTTAGGATTTTCTTATACCTTTGTTTCACTTTGCATCCTTAATAAACATTCTAGAAAGAAATGTTTTGACTGTAAATCTTCATGCATTTTACTGATTAATTAAGAACATTTAGAAAAAAAGAAAGATTAAGATTCAATTCATCAAAAATTTTCTTATCAGTGTGGGCACTCCAATATAATTTAAAGTTGCCCACAAAGAAATTATAATCTTATTCTCATAGATAATTCACATGCTCATGCAAACATGCATGCCAACTTTTGAAAATTTTCTTGGGGGAGATTGCGCATAACGACATTTTTCAGAGTTCCTTATTTGCGACATTTGTCTTGAAAAATATTTATTTGAAGGTTTTTTTTTTCTTAAATGTCAATCTACTACCTTGTATCATATACAGTATGTTACTACTTCAAAAAATGTTTTCTTATCTATCAACATCAACAAAAGCACAATTACAATATCATTTGAAATTTTTAAAAAATTATTTCATTCAAAATTATTTAATATGTTAATATTATGATAAACTTACCCCTGCCTTAAAAAATGTGATACACAAACAGATTATTACATGACTAAGGATGTTAAACTTTACAAGTAAGCTGAAGCAAGTTAAGTTTATGCAGTTACCATGTGGTTACTTTTCAATGTCTGTTGGTAAATTACATAGTTTATAAGGCTACTGTCACAGACAATTTCAAAAATTTCCACATCTGGCACAATTGTCTAGGTCAATATATACTGTTAATGAGAATCGGGAGCAATTAAAATGACTGTGATGACAGGTAGCACAGTTGACACCTTGTTGATTACCTGTTATCAGTGGCAATTAACAGATATCCTACTGATAAACAATGATACAGCCATGTTTTCTGCACACGGAAATACTGTATTATTCAAAGCAAATCGGTAAAAAATCCGGACTTTCAAAAAATCGATAGAAATGGGGAAAAAAAAATAAATCGATAGACAAGTGGTAGACAGGGTTCAAAATCGGTAGACTCCCGAAAAAATCGGGAAAGTTGGCATGTATTATGCAAATAAGGACTACATGTATTACAATATTTTACCGTGACAAAATGAACATAGTAATAACGGGATTCTACTGTAATACCCTTTTTTATATGATAAAACAGCTAAATGATTTTCATTGGTATTAAAATTAAAAATCGGAGAAATTTGAGTTTAGATTTTAATAAACTTTCTAAGCAGTGCCCAAAGCTAACATGTTAATTGATACAAGTAGCAAAATGAAAGCTACAAAAAAAAAAAAAGCTTCATAAAACTGCTCTGACACTGATGCTAAATACATGTAAATTTGGATGAACTTCTCAATTTATTTAAGACTAGGGATCTATAAGTCAGCAGCTGTTGTGAAAATTGCTTACTGCAAGACTGTTATTTTCCAGTATTAGTGGCTTTGCCATTGCACTACATTGGTGTTTTCTTTTGCTAGTCCCTTGTTTGTGACCTGGAAAATCGGTCATAGCCGTCGTCTGCGAGGTTGCATCGGAACCTTCACCTCTATCAGTCTTCACAGTGGCCTCAGGGAATATGCAGTCACCAGGTATCAGATATCTTATTAGTATAGGTAATCATACTTATTAATATAGGTATACATACATATCAATTTACAAGGTAATCCACTTATTTATGTTGATTAGTATAGGAACAGGAGCATGGCAGATGTCCATGATAATAAGAATCATTGGTAATCCATAAATGTGTGGAGATTACCAAGTGATATTTACAAGTGAGATTTTTTCATGAACATCATGCTTTGGTAAATGGGTGTATAGTTGAGGGGAAATAAGTAATAACAGTATGCATGGAAACATTTTCTTCAATATTTTATATGAAACAAAGTGTTTTAATTTTATAGTTTTTTTTTTTCAAAGAGCACTTATTAAAATTTAAATAGAATTACTTTATTTCCAAACTCATCAAAAAATTTCCTACAAGAATAACTTACAACCCCCCACTCTGACACCTCTATGCCATATCAATATGAATGAAAAATACTTATATGGGAAGTATTAAGATAATGTACAGTCAATCAATTAAGCTACAGACCCGTGTACTCTTATTGTATTTTGTTCAGATTTTGAGTCCAAAGTACATCTTACATTTTTTGTTATAAAAGTACAGAAATTGGATGTCCCTTTGTTTGTATTTTAGCAGTTAGTTTTCATTATGATCTGTCTAAGTTCAATGCTTAAAATTGTTAAAAAAAGATAAAGATTTCAAATACTTGAGTGATGCGATGGTCAAAAAAAGTGACGGAAATGGTAATAAGAAGTGTAGTTGTTCTCTTGCAAAATTGATGGAAAGTGAAATATAACTGGCAAATGACAAATCTCACTGTCAAATCTGATAAAAAAAAAATACTTATAGACAACAATATGGGTAAACAGGTCTGGTGCTATGATTTGTTATAATAAAATGATGCATAACACCACAAATGATGTGAACTGGATTTGCTGCTATTTCAGTGCTATCAAAGATAGCCGTTTTAGTCCCATCGCCAAGGAAGAATTCAGCAAGCTCCATGTGTCTGTCTCCATCCTGACCAACTTTGAGGATGCCCGCGATTACCTGGATTGGGAGGTAAGGACAGATGGTATAAGGAAGATTATATTTACACAGAAAATTAAAATGTGGAGGCAATGAATTATATGGCTGATTTTGATACCATTTTGAAGGGAAGGCATAATTCTTTGCTGCTGTCAGTCGGTCTGTTGGTCCACCATCAGTTTCTGTTCATTTGGCAGAGGTTGAACGTATTGGAATGAAACTTGGTATACAGATTTATCATAAATATCTTAATCAAGTTCTGTTTTGGTATGACCCTTTTTATTGCTAAATCAATAAAATAAAAACAACAAATCACCTCCCTCATCATTTTTTGATTTTGTACCATTGTTTTGGGGGCAGGACATATTTCTTGAGTTATGCCTTAATCAAGTTCATGGACCATTTAGGACAGAAAAATTCCAATTAGTTGCAGTTTCCGTTCATCTCCTTTGCAGAGGTTGCACATATTAAAATGAAATTCAATATACAGATTTATAAAAAAAAATATCTAGGTCAAGTTCTGGTTTGGGTTACCAGTACAATCAAACCATTTTGGATAGAGTTATGTCCCTTGGACTTACAAAATTTCCCATTATTTGGGGGAGGGGGGCATAAGTGTTTTACAAACATCTTTTGTTCTTGCTGTGCCAGCCCAAACAGAAAGTTTGTATCAATGCCCTCAGTTTTCCAACCCAGCCTACAAATGAAAAAAAATTTTTTGGTGATATTTTTGTGAATTTGACTTTCAGAAAAATTAGCTGAAACTGCATCTTTTAATAACTTAAAGACAAAGCAAACTTCAATTTCTTGAAATAAAATAATTTATAGTCTATGACCTTATTACGTGTGAGGTATGTTAGTCCTATTCAGTGAATTTACAGAAAGTTCTAAAACTTATATGGCCTTTTATTTTATTATTTTTAAAGAAGTCTTAAAGAACATACAAAAATATTAAAAGTTGTCCAAGGAAATTAAAGCAAATGTTTCTCAGAACTTAGTATATTACATGTATTATTATGAGTCTTTTAATTAAATCTAATATTTGTATTCTACCCTTGGCAGTGATTTCTAAGAAGGGGGTGTCTACTGTAATCAGTTGTATCACTCCTTTTCAGTTTGATGAATAAGTGCTCTGTTGTGTTTACTTATATACAAACTGTGTATATCTAAATCTAGTTGTTGTCCATTTCACTTCATTTGTGCATGACTTTCTGGTAGATTCACAGAATTTTTTGCTTTTTTCAGGTGGGAGTCCATGGAATCAGGATAGAATTCCTCAATGAGAAAGGCCACAAGAAGACAGCTACCTACCTACCTGAGGTTGCCACAGAACAAGGTACTAACAATATCATTACAATTAACTTGATTTACAGTTAAAACTTTTGTACATCCATTTCCTTAACATATTGAAATTTGCATGGAAAATATTTGCAAACCTTTAAATCAGATCCATGTTACATAAGAAGGATGTTATACTTAGAAGTCATTGCAGGATACTAATTATGTGGGGGTTGTTTCAACAAAAGTGTTCATTTTCAATAATTTTTTTTGTTTCATTAACATTATCATGTTGTAAAAAATTTGCATGTGTCACAATTAACAAATTTTCATATGTAGAAATTTTGACAAAATGTTTGTATGAATAACAATGTTCTCTCATAAACAAAATTCACAAAATAGCTTTTGGGGCAACACTGACAACTTAAAACAGCATGGGGCTTTTGTGAATATATTCCAGAGTAATGAGATTTTAAAAATTTGTTTGAAGCATAAATTCAGCACTATGTTGTATTTTCTGTTCCATCTCACACATATCAGAGACACTAAATTTTATTCTATTCTATGAATAAAAAACATTTTTTCAATCATCCTTTTATCCAAAATTTTAAATGACAGTCTCCAAAAATGAAGTCCAATTTCAGACTTTGATATTCCTGTTAATGCTGTTTCCACATGCATATGACATTACACTCACAAAGACCCTATGTCGAAAATCAGAAAGATGATATCAACACCTTTATATAACATGAATTTGTCTAAACACATTTTTTATTCCTTTAAAGAGGGTCCTTAAGAGTTACAATGTAGTTAAATTATAAAAGGGGCACCAAGTCTTTTATTGACTTTGAGAAATTCTCATGACTATTTCTGCAATATAATTACACAAGATATTAGGTACATTTTAATTTTTATTGTAAAGCGTAGGTGGAATGTATCTTCTAGGTATAAGGGAAACTGCATACCAATATACAGAAGGCCTTAGAATTCAAAATGACATATAAATAATTTTGTTAAAATCCTTCAATTGTTATCAAGCATTAAATTGAAACAGGAATAGCCATTAGTTTAGTACTACAGTGGACCTTCAGATATCCGGACGCCAGATATCCAGATGCTTCAGTATCCGGACACTTTTTTATCGGAACAGAATTTTAAAATGTTATTATGTCTTGTTTAACTGGTGAATCAGGTATCCGGACGCTTCATATATCCGGACAAATTGACTGGGAACCAAAGCGTCCGGATAAATGAGGCTCCACTGTATTTAATATCGTCATCATGCACATGTATATATTGATTAAAAACTAGCATTGGATGAAAGAAAACAACAGAATGTATGAACAAAAGCCACAAGATCTTAAAGCCAAGGTTCAGAGGAGGAGAAGTGACACCCTGGATATTCCAATACATCCCTTTCTCTAGCATTGATGCCAATCGTTTGTCACTGATGTGTTTGTTCATTCTGTGGTCTCTTGCTTTCCATGGTCATAACAGCTTCACACCTGTGCAACATCTACCAAATGAATGGCCACAGCTGAATGCTTATCTGCAGGGACCGTAGCATGATGCATTGAATTACTGTTAATGGTGGAGTACCATGGATATAAAATATTTTTGAGTTGTAAAAATTTATAATGGAATTTTGGTATTTCAAACAATATGTATATCAAAAACATGGACTTGTTTATGAACCCTTACATAATAAATGACAAAAATGTGGACCATATCATGCCAGAAATGAAATGCAGTGGCATTAACAGTTAACACAAGTAAAATTAACACATTTTATTTCAATCTCATAGCACTGGGGGTTAACTTGAATAAGATTTTTTCTCCATTATATCTTAAACTCATATATTGTAACTTAAAGCAATATCAATGTAAACCTGCAGTTCTGCTTCTAAATAAAGAGATGAGAAAAGAAAATTTGGTTGGGACCTTGATTTTTCCCATGATGAACTCCATCTTTCCATTTCAAGGTGCAGTGTTTATTTACCTGTATATGCATGAAAAAGTACATCAGTGACACAATTTTGGGAAGCAAGATTGAAAATATCAGTAACATCAATTATTTACATGTACATCCACTGCAAACTATTATTTCCTTTACTTTCTAATGAAAACCACCGTCATTTAACTGTCAGTGAAAATTGCTAAACCAGCCATCTCTGTACTAAATTTTTTGAGCAATGGCTCATCCATCAATGAAACGTTCAATTACACGAACATACCGGTACATACAATATTACTATGTACTTACTTTTACATTGTATTGTATTTTTTTTTTTTTGACAGATATAAAAATAAACAATAAAATGTCTTTCTTCGTTTGTGTGGAAATTAATGTTGCTTCTATTGTAGAGCAATTATACATAATGCAGGTTATGCATTTTTTCTGCAACAAGTGCAACATTAAATCCCATACTAACAGCCAAAGGAAGCATTTTATTGTTTTAAATGGATACTAAACTATTCTTTTCTTTGACAAATACTTTCAGGATGGGATATTCTACAGACAATAGATTCTCTTCTAAGGAAAGGTGGATACAAGGGACCAATAGACCATGAAGTGAGAAAATCACTCAAACTAACTCGTTACCGCAGTGAAAAATTAACGCTAGGATATAACGACTATGTGGCCAATAAGCAGAACGGTCATGCATGATGCCGGTGAATTTTAGGATTCGGGCAGCACCACACCTTGATCACTGCAGTATAAAAGAAGAACAAAAGCAGCATGAAAACAGCGTACTATAGAAGCATAAATGTATATGTCAGCATATGGTAATAAGAAGATAATAGAATCTGTGGTATGATTGGACAGAATTTTACTGTGTACTGGTCGACTTTCCTTTGTTATAAATTGTAGTGATTTTAGCCAGGGTTTGAGATGAGTATATTTCCTATTTTTTACACTTAGAAATTTTTCTCGCCATGAATTGAAGTATCACACAGATGTTCTTGAAGTAAGATGTACAGCGCTGTATATTTCTCTATGTCATTGGATTTATCTTGTAGATAGACGCAAATATCTTCTGATAGCCATGGGGTAGAGAATTGCCTATACATGTATATATATTTTTTTTTCTGATCAGCTAAGTAGTGAGTTTCATACTTGGAATTTTCTTTATCATGTTACGCCCTTCTTAAATTACTCCTCGTAGCAGTTTTTGCATGCCTAGGTAATTGAGTAGGTGAATGGGTATAAATACAAAGACAGAGATGAAAATCTTATACATATTTCTTTCCTTGCCCCATTCTGTAGACATTTTAAACACAAGTTTTGTACACATCTCAATTTTTTAAAAGTATTTCTAATAGTAGATCCTAAATCAATTTAACTTTGAGTATCAGGAATTGTGGCAGATACTCCAGTGCTCGTGTATTTCAATATTTCTGCTGGAAAACTACTCTTAAAAATACAGTAGATAATTTTGTGAGCACTGAATAACAATTTTATGGACTTTTAGAAGGCAATTTTTTAAGGAGACATCCTGCTCAAAATCCTACTTCCACCTCCTCGTGGTGAGCAGGGGGCAACAGATTTATAATCTGGACAACGGAAGAGGTAGCCCTTCAATGAATGTTAACTCTGAAGATGTTCGTATGTTTTAATATTAAATTTTCTGGTTTATTTTTACCATTCATTAAAAAAATGATGTGTAGAATCTTCAATACTATTAATGTATACTACTGTGGAGTTTCAGTTAAAAGGCTTTTTCATTATTTTAAAAATACATGATCTGAAATGCACACAAAAGATGATTTGAAATAAGTTCTTGAAAAAAAAAATGTTTAACTCTTAAAAACTAATTTTCAGATAACTTAATCCTACATCATTTTATTATTTTTTTAGCCCTTGAATCTCATGTTTTAGTTAAGATTTTAAAATTTTTGAAGTTAACCAGAAGACAAACCATATACTGTGTGATGAAAAAATGTGTAAAAATATGAATATGCCTGTCAGCATGGTCATAAATGACACTGAGTTTGCTTGAGAAGTTGACATTTTCATTCAGTGGTATGAAATATTTCAGTGGTTTAGCTCATAAGAAATATTCTTCCTTTTTTCATAGAAAAAAAATTGATGTTGTTCAATGCTATAAGCATTTAAAGTGAAATGTTTTCTTATATTTAAATTCAAAGTCACTGCATTCTAAAGAAGAATAAAAATCCAGAAGATCAGATGGGTATGTAAATATGTGTCATATACATGAAATAAATGGCAGATGATCAGAGGGATTAACTACTCAACTAGCAGTCTGAGTCAGGGTACTGCTTCAAATTCACATCTCAATATATAGGACTTCAGATCATGGGTGAAAGAAAAGAAGACCTGTCTCACATTTTAATCCAACTGAAATACATTAAATTTTATCCCACACTTCAAGTTTTCCTTTTGACACTTTTAATTGTCTTTAATTGAAATTCAAAACATTATGCTGTAAATTTTTGTTCAGAAGGAAGAAACTCATTTTGAACATTTTTTGTTTAATTAATGTTAATCACCAGTTAAATGACTGTATTTCATTATTCAAACTGTAATAAAAGTTAGTTTTTTGTGTTTTTCTAACATTCTAAGATCTTCAAGCTCTCTAACTTGAAAAATCTAAAACATTTGAATTTAATGAAATATGTGAAAGGTTAAGTACTCTAAAAATCTAGACAAAATGCTTATATTTCTGTAAGAATCAAACTTATAATTATTTTAACAATATCGAATTTAAGACAAATGGGATGATTGCAATAGCACAGTGCCTCTGTGACCTTGACCTAGATTTGCTATTTGACTAAGATGGTGTGGCTTATAATTACACCTCAGGGATAAAATTTTTTATTGAATGACATTGAATTTTTATTATGATTATTGTGATAATTATTACATAGCAAGAACAGAATTTGTTGTATAGCAAAGATTACTTTTTTTTTTTTTTAAATTGTAACTGTTCAGTTCTTGGTAAACTTTAGATGAAAATTTCTAATTTTAAAGAATACTTTTTTTTGAAAGAACAAAAAGAGCTACAATATATTTTGAATTCATCTTTTGATTTATTATAAGAAATTTCAGTGAAGGGGTTGTAAATTTGATGATTTTTATGTCATCACTCTCTGGCTTTGGGGCCATAAAACTTGGACAAGCTCACTTTTGATCTCAGTCTCACTTTTCTACTATACAGTAAAACTTGGTTACAACAAAGTCACTGAGACCTTTGAAATTACTTCCCTATATCCATTATTTGTATATCCATATAAGGAATTCGTCATCAAATGAAAATTTTGGCGTAAATTATTCAAGTTTGATACATAAGGATAATATTTCCATAGATATTTTTTTCTTCCCCTCACTTTATTTTTCCTAAAATCGTTAGGCCGATTTAGCCCATTCGTGGATTTAGCTCTTTGTTTAGCTGGGGGATCCAAGATAACTTCGCCATATCCGCAAATTCACAATACATGTATCTGTGTTCGTACTAAACAAGTTTTGCTGTATATTCCTTTGTAAAAGTAAGACTTAGATCAAAAGCGAGCTTGTCTAGGTTTTATGGCTTCCGAGTGTGGAGCTGAAAGGTCATCTAGTTCTCAATACTAGTATTTTTTATTCTTAGAAGTTAATTCCTTGACAAGAAATTATTTATACCAGTATAAAAATGTAATTGTTTCAACATTTCAAGACATAAAGATCCATTTAGTGTTGGCTTTTTTCCAAATTTGAACACACATATTTCTAGTTCTGTAGTTTTAAAGTCTATATTGGTGTAATCTTTGTTATTTTTAGTGTAAAAGTGGATTTCATGGAACTTTTACCACTGATTAACAAGTACACATAGTGTACTGGTATTTGGAATAGCAATAAAGCTTTTATCAAATGCATCAATATTATGAAGTCAGTTTTGTGTAGTTTTCAACCTTGGTGTGTTCACAATGTGTGTGTATTGAAACTAGTTTATTTGAGCTTGTCATAAGATTCCTTGACAAAATAGTATTAAAGCAATTTATCTGTGTATGTTCAGCAGAAAGCACATTTGTTTGAGTAGAGAGAAAATTTAAACTTGATTTGATTCCATCCAAATGTTGCAGATACTCTGCACGTATTAAAATGATGAGTTTATCCTATTATTAAGATGATATTTGAGGCGGTGATATGCATTACAAGTCTAAGGCAAGCATATCTAAAGCTCATGATTTTATATTTTTTAATTGTATTTAATCATTATATATATATATATATTGTATTGTGTAGTCATCATTCAATAAATTCTATAAGATATCATGTTCTTGACTGGATTAAATGTACTCATCAGTAAGTAAAATAGGTAATAGACCTAGAAAGAGTTCCCATAAATCAGCATAGTATGTCTCTCATTTGGGAAATGATTGTCTTCTTTGTTAAAGGATGCCAACTGAAATTTACTGGCAGTGCATTAGCAGAGCTTAATACGGATATATGCAACTGTTAAATGAGGGTGGCAACTAACAAACGAGCAGACAGTCATTCCCATTCTAATTCACTGTAAGCACGTTGTTTGATGTTTATATCCTGTGTTGTTTGGTTGTGATATATGAAATATGTCAAGAAGCATTGTATATTTACATCTTATTCCCATGATGAGGTCACAATCAAAAGGTTTCACTCTCGTTAGTGCTCATTTAATTGCCTCATCAACTAAGCTTTTGCATCTTGCTGACAAATCCATAACTTATTTGATGAACTAAGCCTTTAGATGATCAATTCTTTCCCATTATTGGACAATATGGACTTTTCGATTCTGTGAGAGAACTAAGGGGAGGCATAAATCATTTTTTTATATCCCAAAATGAAATATATCTAGGGCATATAGTGTTTACCATGTCCATCTTCTGTCCTTCTATCACACTTTCTGTTTAGCTCAGTTTGAAAGATACTGTGCTGATTGATAAAATCTATTCAAGAACTTCATTATTGACCCTGACATCTTTTGTCAAGTTTAGCTTATTTTCAAAGAAACTCAAGAAGATATTTTTATCAAACCTTTAATACTTATGCCTATTTATAAGAGATGTTCAGCTGCATCAACTTTTTTAAATCTTGGTATTTACTTTGACCTTGACTTCAAATCTATGTATGGCTATATTTCAAACAAGTATATTCAAAGATGTGTGGTTCCCCGCTTTCGGTGTCTTAAAGTTTGTGGGTGGGATGTCATTTTTTATGACATATTGTATAAAAATATGAATGCCCTATCATACTGAGTATGTCATTTAGAAATTATAACTGAAGTTTGTTTTTTTTTTTAAATAAGGTCAGTCATGAAGGTCAAGGGGTCAGAAATCATAGCATGCTCGGAAATATCTTGTCACAGTAATGCACATGTCAAATATGAAAGCCCTATCTCTTCTTAATCATAAGTTATAAAGAACAAGATGTGTTTGTGAAACACTGATGACCCCTTAATATAGTGAAGATTAAACTTTTCTTAAATGCAAATTAAATTGGTACCCAAAGTAGGATCTTCTCACAAGAAATATGATTGTGAAATATGAAAGCCCTAGCACCACCTGTTCAAAAGTTATGGCCAAGGTTAAGTTTTTGAAAGGTAGGTCAAACTCCAAGGTCAAAGGGTCAAAGTTCTCTATATTCAGTGAAAAGGTCTTGTCACAAGAATTAAATCTGTGAAGTATGAGAGCCCTAGCCCTTATCCTTCAAAAGTAGGTCAAGATCAAAGTTCTTGGTATCAAATGAAAGGGTCCTCTCGCAAGGATTATACATGTGAAGTTTGAAAGCCATAGCCCTTACATTTTAAAGTTATGGCCATTTTTTTTCATAAGTACGAAAAATCTCCAAGGTCAAAGGGTCAACGTTGTTGGTATCCAATGAAAGTTCTTGCCACAAAGAATACATATGTGAAGTATGAAAGTCCTAATATCTACCGTTCAAAAGATATGACCAAAGTAAAAGTTTGAAATTTTTGTGTAAAAGTGGGTCAAACTCCAAGGTCAAGGTCAACAGGTCAAATTTGGTGGTACTCAAACAAATGTCTTGTCACAAGGAATACACATATGAAAGTCAAAGCTCCACTAAATCAAAAGTTATGGGCTAGGTAAAAGTTTCTGTGACGGAAGGACAGACGGACAGACGAATGAGATTTAATATCCCCTCGCTTTCGCGAAAGTGGGTACAAAAAAAGTATTCAAGATATAATAATCAAAACATTATAAGCTTATACATACTGATGAGAGCTATTCAATGGCATCAACATTTTTGACTTTGACCATATTTGTTTTCAGCTCAAAGAAACTATTCTAGATGTTTTCAATGTAAAAAAAAAACAAGCAATTTAAAGAATTGTGGTCCACCGCTTTTGGTGTCTTTGTGGGTGAGATATCATAATTTATGGCATATTGTGTCAAATATGAACACCCTATCATATGTCATTCAGAAGTTATCACCAAAGTTGATTCTTTTTGGAAATCCAGGTCAATCATGAAGGTCAAGGGGTCAGAAATCACAGTATGCACGAAAATATCTTGTCACAGGAAATGTACATGGCAAATATGAAAGCCCTATCTCTTATCAATCATAAGTTATAAGGAAAAATTAATATTTTTGAAAATTAGGTCAAACTTCAGGGACAATGTCACAAGATAAAAAAAACCAAGTGTACAAGTATTTAGAAAGGTCTTGTCACAAGCAATACACAGATTAAATATGAAAGCCCTATGTCTTCTCATTCAAAAATCATGAGGAAACGTTTTAAAAAGTAGGTCAAACTTCAATACCAAGGTCACGAGGTCAAAAATCATAATATATTTAGAAAAGTCTTGTCACAGATAATACACATGTGTAATATGAAAACCCCATCTTGTTTCATTCAAAGGTTATGGCCAATTCAGTGTCTTTAATTTTTTTTAAAGAAGGTCAAACTTCAAAGTCAAGGTCACGGGGTCCAAAATCATAGTGTATATAGAAATGTACAATCACAAACAATGGACAGGTCTAATATGAATGTCCTATCTCTTCTCATAGTTTTTGAAAAAAAAGGCCAAACTTCAAGGTCAAGGTCATGAGGTCAAAAATCATGGTGTATTTAGATAGGTCTTGTCACAGGTAATATACATGTATAATATGAAAGCCCAATCTCTTCTCTTTCGAAAGTTATGGTCAATTCAATATAATGTTTAATTTTTTAAAAAGTAGGTCAAACTTCAAGACCAAGGTCGCGGGGTCAAAAATCATAGTGTATTTAGAAAGGTCTTGTCACAGGTAAAATTTATATATGTGTTATATGAAAGCCCTATCTCTTCTCATTCAAAAGACATGACCAAGATTAAAGTTTTTGTGACGGACGGACAGACTGACAGACAGACAGACTGACAGACGAATGAGATTTAATGTTCCCACGCTTTTGCGAAGGCGGGGAACGAAAAAGTCCACTGTGTAGGTTGGAAGAGAAGCTTTGGGAAATATTTTGTTGTTGTTGTTGTTGTTTTCCCACACCATTTGGCCCCAGAGTGTAAATGAAAATTCCCAAATCTTATTGCACATTCATCTACTGAACATCCTCAGAATATCTTGCGAAAGATGAGATGGCAGCTTGATAAAAACTCGGAGATGTACTGGGAATAAGTTTTTGTTGTAAAAACGACAAAAAGAAATCCCCTCCCCCTCCATCAGCTTTTTTAAAAACCTTTTGAAAAAGTAAGATTAAAAAATTCACCCCCCCCCCCATTTGATACGCAAGGTGAAACTGAAAATTAAGAGACCTTTGTGAAAACCAACAAGACACCCCAATTATCTTTCAAAAGATGAAATGGTAATACCGGTAGCATAAATGAGTACAGATAACCCAATCCGAGCCTGGGGCGAAAATGAACATTTCGAAAACCTTACTCTTTTTATAGACTTCTTCCACAGGACACCCAGACTCATCTGGCAAACAAGATGTGTTTGTGAAACACTGATGCCCCCGTATGGCAACATAGCAAAGTTAACCTTTCTCAAATGCAGATCAAATATGTTGGTACCTAAAGTAAGGCCTTTTCACAAGAAATACAGAAGTAAAATATAAAACCCTAGCACCACCTGTTCAGGGTTATGACCAAGGTTATCATTTTCAAAGGTAGGACAAACTCCAAGGTCAAGGTCAAAGGGTCAAGGTTGTTGGTTTTTAAAGAAAGGCCTTGTCTCAAAGATTACATATGGGAAGTATGAAAGCGCTGACCTTACCGTTCAAAAGTTATGGCCAAGGTTCAAGTTTGTAAAAAGTAGGTCAAACTCCAAGGTCAAGGACAAAGGATCAAGGATCTTGATATCCAATGAAAGGTCTTGTCACAAGGATTACATATGTGAAACATGAAAGCTCTAGCCCCTACTGTTCAAAAGTTATGGCCAAGGTTAAAGTTTGTAAAAAGTAGGTCAAACTCCAAGGTCAAGGTCAAAGGGTCAAAGTTGTTGATATCCAATGAAAGGTCTTTTCACAAGGATTACATATTTGAAGTATGAAAGCCCTAGTCCTTACCGTTCAAAAGTTATGACCAAGGTTCAAGTTTTTTCGTAAGTACGGAAATCTCCAAGGTCAAGGTCAAAAGGTCAAAATTGTTGGTTTCAAATGAAAGGTCTTGCCAAAAAGAATTGATATTTGAAATATGAAATACCTGGTATCTACCGTTTAAAAATTACGGCCCAAGTAAAAGTTACGAATTTTTGGGCAAAAGTGGGTCAAACTCTACGGTCAAAGACAAATGGTCAAAGTTCTTGATATTCAATGAAGGGTCTTCTCACAAGGATTACATATGTGAAGTATGAAAGCCCTAGCTCTTATCGTTCAAATGTTATAGCCAAGGTTAAAGTTTTTTCATAAGTGCAGAAATCTCCAAGGTCAAAAGGTCAAGATTGTTGGTATCCAATGAAAGGCCTTTTCACAAAGAATAAGCATGTTGAATATAAATGTCCTGGTATCTACTGTTCAAAAGATATGGCCAAAGTAAAATTTCAAAATTTTTGTGTAATAGTGGGTCAAACTCCAAGGTCAAGGTCAAAAGGTCAAATTTGGTAGTACCCAAAGAAAGGTCTTGTCACAAGAAATACACATGTGAAATATGAATGTCATAGCTCCACTAAATCAAAAGTTATGGGCAAGGTTAAAGTTTTTGCGGACAAACAGACAAACAGACAGACGGACACGACAAAAACTATATACCCCCAAAACTTCGTTTATGGGGGCATAAAAATGAAATTGCTAAAGGATGAAATGTGTCATGTTGTAAATTTGTAAATTTTAAATTTACCGGATGGCAGTAAATACAAAATTTACAACATTTTAATTGTTGGAACTAAATTTTTTATTTACTGCCACCCGGTAATTTCAAAATTTACAACATGACAAATGTAAGAAGAGTTCTGGAAACTAAGTTTTTAAACACGAAAAAGTCTCTTTTTGACTACCATTTAGCTCCCGGATTGAAAATGAAATTCCAAGATCCTATTGCACATCAACAGGACAAAACCAATTAACAATTCGTCAGAAGATTTGACTAGTGGGTAAAATGTATGAGAATTTCTTGGAACCAAATGAAAACTCCGAAACCTTAGTGGACATCTACTGTAAGAAACAACCTATATCATATTTCAAGAGATGAATTGAATACTGCCTAAATTGTTAGTGTCAATACAGGAAGAAGGTTTGACAAACAGGCGGGCCAGTATGATTTTCTTAGAAAGAATGGAACGCTTATTTCGAAGTTAACACTAAAATCGGTAAATCGGTAACAATTTTTGCGATACTTTCTAATTTTTCTGTGTCAAATAACACACAAATATCCCCTATCACATTCTATTTCTAATATATACATTTTAGAATTATTCTGTTTGTTTTAATTAATGCTAAAGCACATATTAATCACAAAGTCTTCCTACCATTGAATAATATTTTTTTTGTATTTAACCTTACATGTAATGGAGTCTCAACTAAATTTTGATTTGTCTAAACTTTTTTTTTATGCAAATAGTAGCTTAAAAGCTTTGTTTATAAATGGCTTGTGCATCACCTTACAAACACCTATTCTGAAGCACACATTTGAATTGACAAAATTTTATTGTGTATTGAAATTCAATGTAAATGCTTGTAAAAAGGTAAAGTAGAGTCTTCCAGACGTAACTAATACTACAGTAACTTTAGAAAATGTGAAAGTCCACCCCTCCCCACTTTTTGTTCTAGTATAGTCGTATAAGGGCAGTTAGTATGTTTGAGTAAATAAAAATAAATTAGTGTGAAAAGAGAAATTGTTTCCCCTCCCACCCATGAAATGGGATTTGGGTTTTTTTTTCAGGTAAGTTGAAAAGTTATTTTTTATGGTCTCTGTCCCTCCCTTTTCAAAAACGGGGAGTGGCAATCTACTATTGCAGCCCTTTTATGGCGTTCAGACAGGTTCAACCGCCGGTGGCCATATAGCTGCAGTTGGTAGAGCACCTGACTGGAGATTCAGGGGGACCCGGTTCGAATACCGGTCTGGCTCGCTGCATTTCCCCCTCTTCCGTAACAATACCAAAAATTTACATAGGCCTAAAGAAAAAAAACTGTTGGGAAGGGACATGCTGCCACAACAAGGAGCTAGCCCCCTACACCCCCGCCCCTGCAAAAGCAACCAATATGGGTATTCTCCTTTATCCATTCCATATTTTAAACGAGGCCTACACAATATGCCAAACCACGATCGCTATTATGCCCAATATAAACACCGGAAGTTACGTTGGTGCAGCAGAAAAAGAAAGTGCATGAACTCTGTGGGGTCTCTTCTCTGTTGTGATCGAGAACACTGGAGCTGGCCAGGGTACGTTGTTTGAATGCTTTATTTCACTTTATTTCAGAATAATGAAAGGCATTTGCTAGCATAGTAGAAAATCTACCCCATTTATTATCGTACACGGGTTGTGTCGGTCAGTTGGTCAGCTGTGTGTCAATGTGCAATCAACAGATCGGTAGTGAATATTCGGTGTGACTGTCATAAAATTTATGCGGCTATAAACATTATTTTTCTTTTAATGACTCTTTGCTGATTTGAGCTATACTGTTTTTTATCTCATAGACTGCACTGTTTTAGCCAATTTAGGTCAAAACTGTTAAATTTGCGTGCTCAGCGTGTAAGACAGTCGAATAAAATCAATATGATCAGCAAACTTGAGTTGAATGCATAAATCCAGTAACGATATTAATCACTTAATAAAACCCGATTAAAGGAGACTGGTTTACTGTAGATTCCATCCCTAGAATAAACAAAAGATGAATTAGTTTACTTGAGTAAGAAAAAGTATACTGATATCACATATTCATTGTACTTTTCATTTTATGTGGTATGGTTTGGGTCTTGGGTAATGGCTTGAGAAGCTCAGTAGGTGGAGCACCTGTTTACAGATGCAGGGGCCATGGTTTCGTTTCCCAGTCCAACCATATATTTTCTCCTATCCTATTATATATTTGATGCCTTTAACCCCCTGGATTTTTCAAGGGGCCTAAGGAAAAGACAATTTAAAGAGGGAGGAATTAATGTAATGGTTTTGGCAACTAGGGTAGCTCAGAAAATGGAGCACTTCATTAGAGAGAAGGGGACTCCCCATTCAATGCCCGCTGCAGCCATACATTTCTCCTTTCTATTTCATTTGTGGCAGTCAGCGGGGTTCAATCACCAGTGGCCAGATAGCTCAGTTGGTAGAGTACCTGACTGGAGATTTAGGGGTTTGAATCCCAGGTCTGCTGCTTTTTTTCTCCTCTCTCGTTATGTTTGGTGTCGTGCCTTATCCTGGAAGGGACAAGTGAGAGGTGTGCCAGGGATGAACTTAGGGACTAAAACTGCCTATTTCTTTCCAGTTAATTGCATGCATATCAGCTATGATGTCAATTTTTTTTATTCCCATATGATTTTATGAAGTATGCCATACAACCATGATGACTGCTTTTGGGTGTTCTGAATGATAGGTCTAATTAGAGGTTCATCATGCATATGTTCATGTCACGGAAAAAAATATGTGTAGTCAATGTTAAAAGATTGATCGATATGAGATATAAACAAATCAACAATATGAATAAGTGCATGCAAAGATTGTTTGACATGATTAGTACATGTATACTAGTATCTTCATATTCTAGAAGGTAGTTGATCAAGAAATTAGATTAGGTCTGACAATTACCAGGAAAAAAATAATTTTCCTCTGGAAAAGTTTTACTTGCATGGAGAAAAGAATATGCACCAAGTGTAAAAGGGTTTGTTATAGCAAAAAAGGTGAGAGTAAAAAGACAATTAAGTAATGTAATATTGTATGTAAGCTTATTTGCATTTTTAAATGCACATGGACCTCATATACTAATCTCAAGTCTGGGACAGTCCTGTGAGTCAACTGTATCTATATATCCTCCTTTTAGCTTTCTTTTTTTTTCATTTTGCTGTCTTTTGTTTTAATGGTGAAATTGCTCACTATGTTGAAAAAAATAGTTTCATATATTTCTACTAGTTCATTTCTGGTAAATAAGATTACGTGAAAACAGGATAATAATTTAATACCATATATCAGATCAAAATTACATTTATGTTCTGAGTTGCATTATTTAAGGTTTTTGTAAGAAGTATTAGTTTGCTGATTGCAATAATGAGTAATTAATGCTGTCATTACTTTCTACACCATCAAGTTGTCTTTGCCCTGCCTTTGGCAGATGTTTAGTCGTGTAAACATGTTTTCTTGATGTTACAGAGAATATTTGACCTTGTCACCTTAAAGTGATGTCAAGAGTCATGATTTGGACAATGGACTTTCTGACTATAATGATGTGAGAAGTTTAACCTCTGGAAAATTGTGTTTAAAAGAGGATTTTTTGATATTTCAGGGGTATCGATAATTAAATGGCTGTTGCTTTATAAAACGGAATAAAAGAACAATATTATATCGTTTCTAGATCTGAAGTATATTTTAAGTAAACAGAATTGCAATGAACATTTTATTTTGGGCTAAGAATGTATGGTTGACCAAATGCATGATTATGCATGAAAAAAATTGAAAAGTATGATAAGTGGAGGACAATGCAGTTAGTATAAATATTTATACTTCTAAACATGGTGCATGTAAGCATTTAGGAATTTCAGTGTTTCTGATTGTTTACTCAATAACATCTTGTAGATTAAGGCAATAAAGAATGTGTTTAAGTGTTTATGACAGTTGAAGACTGAAAGGCATATTCTGAAATGAGTCATGAGGATTAAATACAAAACCTTATAAAATATGAGGTGAATTTTTGAAGTGCCCGGCCTAATACATTCTATCACCATCACTTTATTTAAGAGATTGAAAGAATTTATAACTTTACTTTTTGGGGTGTTTTCAGATTCTTCACAGTGAACAAATGTTCATCTAGAACTCTTACAAAGGCAGCTAATGCTGCCATTCACAAAAAAACCAAGGGGAGAAGTAGCGGGGTTTAGCTTCTCTATTTGCTTATTTAAATAACAGCCAATTTTCTGTTGGTGGAAGCTACAAAGGTACAGCATAGGTATGTGTATGGTTGTTTCGGTATCTGCATGAATTCATTAAATTTGTATTGATCCAAATGAAAACTGAATCAAGGTATGATAATGAAATTTATGGTAGTACATGTAATCAAAGAAAGAAGAAATTGACTGCTCAGTAAAATACAAAGTATCGCTGTACTTTCATATACATGTTCTGTGAATTGCATTCCACTGTACAAATATTTCAGACCTTAAATGGTTGTTTTAACATTTGTTTCCAATGAGGTTCTATTATTAAATAAAGATTTATCAATGTATAATTTAATATTTATAGCTTATACAGGAATGGTATAACACAGTTCCTGAAAAGGTAAATTGAATGCAAAGTGATTATATTGTAAATCATTAGTAACCAGGATATGGTACACACTAGTTTAGATAGGCTTGCTTGAATTTGTGTACATTCAGTATTGAGTTAACAAGAGATTAAGATTGGAGGTTATGTTTTTTCATTGAAAATTTTAATTACTTTAGACTCAAGCCACTGATTAGGTTTTGTAAGGAGATTATGCACATGAATGTGCAGAGTGAATTTTGGAAGTGTGTAGGAGGGCTTTTATAGCTGTTCTGTAGAGAAATAAATTAAAAGTGAAAGCTTTCAGAAGATCACTTTGAGCAAACTGTTTGTATGAAATGCTTTTCTTATGTACAAACTTCAGTTGACATATTCAATCAAGTAGGCTGTTTGGTTTTGACATATTTAAATATCTTTAGAGCTTGTGCTTTTGTGAAAGATTGGAAATAAATGACCTTTGATAAGAGGGTAGCCCTCTAATTGTATATATGGGGATCCCCATTGTTTGCGTTTTGGACGCCATCCAGATTTTGTCTTCCTGCAGTACAAATATTAGCCAGGTCTATTTCCCCTCCATTTTGGAAATAATATTACATTAGTGCTTGAAGCAGCTCTTTTGGGAAATAATGCTGATGACTCAACAGTGAAAGCAAGACATTAGGACATCGGTGGTTCTCTCTGTTTGGCAGTCCAAAGTAAGTGTGGGCGGTGATCAGATGATAATTAGAAGTTAGAGGGAAACACGGCAAATATGACATTTGTTCCTTTGGAAGCTATTTAGCTACGTGTAATACATATTTAATATATAGCTATATATATAGCTAAAGTGGAGATGTTTTATAGATTATAAGAATTTTATATCAACACAAGTGTCATTATATGGCGTTCAATCATTTGCAATCTATAGCGCCCGGGGGAAGAAAAAGTAGGCCAGTTTATTTAGTAATATTAAATTAAAATATTTACATTGCCACTGCTCGTGTATTTTAGATTGGATTTGGTGTTCAATAGAATATTATGTCAACTTTGTGTAATTTGGCATATCAGAATCTATCCATGGTGAAATGGTCGATTGCTATAGTCGCCAGCTGTAACATTAATTGGTACTTTGTTATAATACGTTAAATACTTAATTCAGGTGTAGACTTTTTCTGATCTGAAATAAAAGAGAGAAACATGGACTATACAGTGGTAAACACATCATATTTAAAGCAATATGAGCTGCATTTTTGAGAATTTTATCATTAAAATGTGTTACAATGATAGATTTGTATATATTAATTAAAACCTTTATGTTTTATTAGACGTAAATAAAGTATTAAATTGTTTCAGAAGACAGATTTCTGTACAATTAAATACATAGCATTATTCAAAAAATCGATATTGTACAGGACGACAAATACAATTTTGCTTCAATCATAGGTTATAAAAAGTTCTTCCATTGCAAATATGAACAATAGAAGATTATGAATGTTCTTTTTCTCTCCTCTTGAAACACTTGATTACAATTCTGCAATTAAAAATTCTGACATCAAAGTTGCAGCTCATATTGCTTTAAGTAAAATATAGGAATATGTGTAATATTTAAATTCTAAATGGATTTTATATGGTACTTATTGTCAGTTTGTATTTAGCGCATAATCAAATATAATAGGTATTTTTATCATTTTTGCAAAGCGACCTTTATATTGCCATTTCTAAAAAAGGAAATTAAAACATGATTGATCATTGATCCTTCATTTATTACTCAAACATGATTGTTAAAGATTCTGTAACTTGAATTTATTGAATCTGATCTTGGCAAGAATTGATATATACCATGGTACAAGTTTAGTTAAACTTAAACACATATTCCAAACAAGTGAATTTGTTTTGCACCCTATACCTGATAACAAACTGAATACTGGAATGTAGTACAGTTGAATTAAAGGAATGCTTATCTTTATACTTTTGATTATTGGGGAATTCCAATTCTGCATTGGGAGGAATTGGATGGACATTCCTCTTCACCCCATGACCCAAACTTTTGATGTCCATTTATGTATAGTATATCTTGTTTTAAATCAGCAGTCTTTCTGTACTTATGTAATGCTAAAAAATGTATTTTACATATCATACATTATGATTTCTGAGGAATGCACTTCCTTCAGTTGTAGATTGGGGATTTCTAAATAATCAAAACTACAAGTTGATCATTGCTTTTCTCTGACTGGACTAGTCATTTCAGTATTCAGTTCATTGACTGCTTTTTTATTCCCTTTTCAGCACATTTTGCATTGTATAGGGATGGGCTTTAATCATCTACTTTTCTCAACTTCTAGAACAATGAAATTTTTTTTATTGATTGCTTCTATTTTTTGTGGAAACTAACTGAAAAATATTATATCAGAGAGAAAATCCAGCTTTATTTTTAGGTGCTATAGCTTTTAAAATACATTTTGTATTTTAATCGGGTTAATAATAACAACAAGATTGTCTTTGTGCTGCAGAAAGTTATGTTGCTAGTTTACAGAACACAGTTTTATTTATTCGAAATGCCAGATGTGATGATTCTTTGAAAGTTAATTCATGTACAAGTCATAATTTTACATACCTATTAAGTAAAAGATATTTCTAACAAGGTAAAGATTCTTTACTGAAAGTATTAAAACATGAAACTAACTGACTCTGAAAGTATTGGGGAACAGTATAATTATTTATTCCTCCCTGACTTTGTTCATTCCTATTTTTAAGGATACATTAGTGAAATTTGAAGCTGATCCTGTTGAGGAGTTATATCTTTTGTATGAAGGAAAACTCTTTTGAATAGACAATTTTTCAAAGTAATGGAATTCTTGATTTAAAAAAACAATGTATTTTTTGTTAACTCTTCTTTTAATTTTCCAAAACTGAATGGTTGTAACTTAACTCTTGCTTCACAATGGCATTCACAGCAATATAACAATGACCATTCTGTCATATGGTTCTACAGTCAAAGTTCGGGAAAAGAAACCCCTTATCATAGTGGAGTGCTTTATCACCAACATTTTTGATGTCAGTATATTTGCCAAACTTGGAACAGTATTTGCAGAGTTCTTAAAACATCAATATTTTGAAACAATACCCTCTCCTGCTTTCCCTCACACAGAATGAGTAAAAGCTTTTTAATGACAACAACCAATCTGTCAACCACCTAAAGCTTGATAAGTGATTTTTTTTTTCAAGGTTGCTTTAACAGTTTGAAGAAATCAATTTTATTTCGTATCTCAGTTAAACACAGAACTGTGAATTTTCCATTCTTGAGAATTTTTTTTGTACTTTGAATAAATGTTATTCTGGATGGAATAATGATTTTAAAGATAACATTACTTTTGAAATCTTTTTGTGTGTTAGGCCGTCTAATGATGTAATAACTTAAAACCCTGTTGAAACACTACCCCCTATGGCATTGCTTTTCTTCTCAGAATTAAGTGTTATTTTCACAAGTACTAGGTGTTCTTAAAACTTTTTGTCCCTTAAGGGGTCTTCTAATTGTTTACCTTGTCAGATAATGGCTGAACCATGTACGGAGGTATAGTACATATAAGATGTTTGCACATTTGTCCTAAAAAAAGATTAAAGTTTTGAAATCATTATTTCAAACCATAATTGTATGACAGAGTTGTGCTTGCTTAAGAGGTAAGTGAAGTAATTTTATATCCCAATAATGGCTTAATTTATTTAATCTTTATGGAGTAAGAAGTTTGTAATTCTTTAATCTGTAGTAAGGGCTTTAAGGGGTCTGTACAAACAGAACATGCGACCTTGTGTATTGCAGTAAATGACTGATTTTGTTTCATGACGTATGCACATACATTGTGTATACTAGGTCGAATGTTGTCTTTTTGTGACCACACTCGTATCTAATGATTTTAAAGGGTCTGGCACATTGCCCTGCGTGAAACGCTTGTGCTGAGAAATTATCGAGTAGTAAAAAAAAGCCCTACAACTGGTTGTTTGTAGTACTTTTTAAAATACCTTTGAAAGGCATCATGAACTAAAATGTGAGGTACAGGCCATTTGATTAAGTGAATAGATGTGATAGATATATATATATATATTTCTAGATTTATAACCTTCGATTGGTAATTGAAGTCAATTAAACCACTTCACCAAGACTTGATGTTACTGGTATATGGAAATCGGTCGTTGAATTTTTTGTGCATACTTGGCTAGAGGCCATAATTGTTGATTCGACACATGGAAATCAATGAAGTGTGTTGGATTAGAGGAGAATTTTTGTGGATTCAGTTATTTTGAAGGTATCGCAGGTACCCGATAGCAGTACGAGTTTTCAGACCATACACAGAGAAAAAGAGCCTGTAATCTGATCGTAGCAATAAAACAGTCAGGGCACATTGATTTTTCCCTCTGCTAGTTGCTGAGGCCAAGAAGTATTTTTGTGCTGGAACTGAGGACTGCGATTCCCACTCTGACCGGCAAAAACAATTATCCTGGTGAACCACTGTATTATTGAACATGATTGTTTTATTATTTCAGGTGTGATTGTGGAAAAAATACCATGAATTATGGAGGACTATCTTCAGTGTGTTAGTGTAAGGGCACTCGAAGACTACATGTGCTGACCACGATGAATACGACTGTACCTAAGCATCTCTGTGATAACCTATGATTTTTTTTCCTTGGGAGCAATGTCATCTTTTGTGGCACGAGAGCTGTTCCCTCAGACTGTGGAAGGCACTTCAGTCTTGACCATGGATATTCTTGCTAAGAAGTTTCGGGAGCAGACGTTGGAAGAATCCAACAAACAAAATTCATCTCAAATTAAATTTGTAAGTATCTTAATTTACATTTTTCCTGCCTGTAGAGTTCGGGATTTTTATTTAATAAAATAATTAGACTTGTAACCGGTTTCTTCTGACTCAATTTGTTTATTTTCTAAAATAAAAATGTATGTCCCAAATGTTTCCAACTCTTGAATGACATTTGAATGCTGGATTCTTGAGTAGAATTTGTTGGATATCTGAATGTATATTTTTTTATTGATAAGCTTCAACATATTTGTGAATAGTTGAAAACATGTGTATAACACATGCAGTACTAACTGAACCAAGTGGCAGATATTTCCTTAACATGAGTTGTGACCCATAAAAATGAATATCTACCATCTCAAATGTTTTAACTTGTTAAGCATAATAAAAAGATTTGTTCCTATCATATAATGTAAAGAAGATCCGAATAAAAAGACCTTTGAGGTTGGTTTTAAAGAGCTTACATTGAACATTGTAAAGGTAATCATACAATGTGTACCACTTGATCCTTGTTCACCCGTCTGACACATGCGTCTTATTATCTCAGTTTGCAATCATGTATATATTAAAAGATATTATCACTTGTGACAATGGTGTTCTTCTAATCATTATCTTAAATTCCACTCCTTGTAGGGCAATTACATTGTTTTTCTCTAGGGTATCATATTGATATATTTGAGAGGGAAAACTGTTTCTGAGTGCGAGTTTCATATTTCAATGATTATGTATATACTTATTGATGATAAAAATACTTCATATAGATAAAAGATTATTTCAGATGATCTCTGCTTCAACTTATTTTCTGCAACACAAAGCCTGAAAGGTATTCAGGTGAGCACTTAGGTTACACAGAGAGCAAAGATATCTAACACATTATGCAAAGACAGTCCTCTCTTTGTGTATCTTGAACTTGTATCTCCTCTTGAGAACATAAAATGTAAATTGCTCCTATACACTTAGAATGTTTTAAGGAAAGGTATTCAACCGAACATTTTCTTAAATGCATTGTCTTTATGCTGACCTTTGGAATGTTTTAAGGAAAGGTATTCAACCGAATAGTTTCTTAAATGCATTGTCTTTATACTGACCTTTGGTATTCTGTCAATTTTCACCTCAGACTCATGAAAACCTACGTCATAGAAATTTAGTGTTCTATAGACAAAAAAAAAAATCTTGCAAAGTAGAGTTGAAATTTGTTTGAATGGAAAAGGGGAGGTGAATTTAAACAAAAAAATAAATGTATTCTGAAGATAAATGGACATTAGTTTATTTTAAAGAAGAATATAAAGGAGTAATAAATATTTAATACTGGTATTTAGTCAATTAGAATCCTTAATTGATGCTGAAATCATAATGTAAGTTTGAAGCACTGGAAGCCTTTGTCCTATGTCAGGACCCAGACTATATAGAAAATTGAGAATACTGTAGCTAAAGCTGTAGGAAAACCCTAGCTTAATCCAGACAGAATTTATTATCATTTTATTTAATGAAAGGCAATACTCCTGAAATAAACTTATGTGAGCATATTTTATTAAATTGATGTAGCATTTATAATTGTCTCTTGATCAACAGTCCATTGGCAATTTACATTCTCGTAATTTTGAGGTGTAGAATCAAAGCCATAAAGTAAAATGAGGTTCTTCCTTATTTAAAGTAAGGAATTTACAGTGTTTTTTTTTTCAAATCTTTCTTTGATATTCAATTTGATATATGATGTGTTTGAGATAAGGTTTCATGCCCTATGTTAAAATACACTATCGTTTACATAAGTGAAAATTTATGTTTAAAATCATTCTAGGAGTAACTTGAGATTTTCATACTAAAAACAGAGAATTGTGCTGTTATTCACTGAGATATGAATGGTTACTGGGGCAAAAATGGTATATACGGATACTCAAATGCAGTAAAAGATATTGATTTTTTTTAGTAAACACATAACCTCTCTTTCTATCAATAAAAAGTGGCCTTGAATCTTTCACCTGAAATAGAAAATTAGTGTTGCATATGATTGAATAACTGAGGTGTTGGCACAGAGTAAAGATATATCTATGCCAACATTTTAGTTTTATTAATTTCTCTTTCAGCATTTGTGTTATGTATCCTTTGATATTTGAGTTTTAAATCAGTCATGGTAATTAATTTTCTCTTCATAATAGGTTGTATTCTCATTGGTGTAATTGCTGGCAATATTAGGTAAATAAGAGAATATATATCTATATAGACGATAACGACATTTTCTCTAGGTGTTCTATTCTTTACAGATCCGTCCCGGGGAAGGTTTTAGACTTAGTCGCAATGCTGAAGCCAGGCTGGCAGGGGCAGGTAATACACTATATTAAGGAATCATGTGTATTATCTTTCACATGTTGTTTCATTTTCATCATATATTTCTATGTTCAAGTTAACATACCACCATTGTATGTTTCATATGATTGCCATAGAACATCATATATCGACAGCTATGCCACTGATGTGCTATTGTTCACTCTGTTAAATTGTGGAATAGTAAGTTCA